TGGCTACTCAGGATTATCAGTATTTTTTCTATGAAATTGATTACATGGATAATTCTGTACCCCTTATGCTATTTTAGAAATACGTAAGTGTATTCTAAGGCTACAATGATCATTATTAAAGGATTATATTCCCTCAGACTCCTGAAAGGCTCAGGTTGACTTGTGGGTCATACAGATTTGACCTGTGTGTTAGTGATGTACTAAATTGCTATAATTATTTTGCCAGGCCTACTTCATTGTTTATTACAGTAGGTTTTTTGGGGGGTATGTTCAGAAATATCAGCAATAATAACATAATGATAATAAATCCTTAAGCAATTTGAGGCACATTTTACTGTGCAATATATTAAATAAAATAGTATTTCATATCATTTAAATATTTGACAATTCCATTTCTTGAATTATTTAGTACATTCTTTTATTAAGTATGCTTTATATTTTATAAAGAATTCAGATGAGAAATACATCCTGCTATAATAAAAAATAAACATCTTTGTATTTTCATAAAAGATTAAATTGTGCCATCATAATTAAATTCTTAATTACTGCATTTATTACCTGAACAACTAAAAAGAGTTAATAAAAGCAAACACACATTTCTCCTTCTTTAAAATATTTTTTCTCATTATCTGCAAAATATAGACATCATGCTCACTATAAAATTAAACTATTAATTTTAATATTTTAAATGAAAGCAAATTTACCATAAGATGAACAATTCATAAATTGACTTGATAGTAACAACATTTTACAGTAAAATGACATTTTTCCCTGGCTGGTGTAGATCAGTGGATTGAGTGCTAGCCTGCAAAGCAAAGGGTCGCTGGTTCCATTCCCAGTCAGAGTACATGCCTGGGTTGCCAGCCAGGTCACCAGTAGGGAGCATATGAGAGGCAAGCACACATTGATGTTTCTTTCCCTCTCTTTCTTCCTTCTCCCCTCTCTAAAAAATAAATAAAATCTATAAAAAATTGCCTATTTAAAGTAAAATGACATTTTGGGGGTGGGGGCTTAAAACAATTAGAATCTGTTTTCACAAAACTCTTAACTTTCAGGTCAACGTGATAAGAAATATTTATACTAATGTTTAAAACATATTTATGAAAAAATATTTGCCTTTAAGATTCTGTCCTTCAAAATCATGTGACAATAAATCCTTCACAGTTGTGTGAGGAGTATTTAATTTAGAAATTTTATAAAATGAGTATTTTATTAAAATTCAATAGAAAATAATTCCAGCAGCATCTTAAAATTACTTGTCTGAAAAATAATATCAACACTCAATCACTTTTAAGTTTTAAGTTGATTCCATTACGTAGAACAGCTAAGCTGCTTCACAATGACACAAAGAAAAACTGCGGGAAATTGGAAGAGCTTGAAAGCCAGCAATTTTCTAGTTTTAACTTCTAAGTATAGACTCTGAAGCCCGAGGCAGGCCTGACCGTGCTCCATCTGATAACACACCAGTCACTGCTTCAATTATTTTTGTTACGAGTCCCTAGAGCTATTAAAATGCACTTCATCAAAATACAGTAACCTCTTCTGTTGCTTTCTAGCTAAAAGCTATCTTAAAAATTTGAATAGCACATTTTGGAATATCACAATTATATTTAACTATGAAAGGAATAAAGCAACAATCAGTTTGCTAACAAAATGAATTCAGGAGAAATAAACTGGAAGGAAATTTTAGATGTCATTATATTTCTTGACTCTTAACATTTTTAGAAAATTTTACTAGCTTAATTACTTTAAGGAATTGTTTCTTTACCTCTGTATATAATAAGTCCATAGTGGAACACTTCAGTAATATTCTGTTCTTATGCCTTGGTTATAAAATAATAGTAATGGTGTTATCTGGAGATATTTTAAGGCTATTTCTGTTGATTCTTCTTAAAGATTGGCTCGCAACTTTTGTCATGCATTTCAACATTCTAGCATTGTCCTACAATTTTCTGGTGTTCATTTGTCACACTGACAGAAACCAGTTTAAAATTTAAATCCACATCCCGCCTGAATCCCTTAAAAGAGTTTGTAGGCCACAGCCCGTGCAGTGACTGATGATACTCCTGTCAGGTGCCAGAAGACCCAGCAAAATTGCTCAACAAGTTTCTTAACAAGATAAACAATAAGGCAAATTACAGAAAAACAAATGACTTATCATAAGGTTGCTTCCATGACATTTTTCATATTTATCCCCTAAAGACATTTTCACAAATAAAACATTTCAAAAGTAGGCAGTATTCCTGCAAATATATTTTATTTAATATTCTCTTGGTATGTTCAGTTTATAATTTGTAAAGAAGGAACACACAATTGAAACGTATGGTAAAATTCCTGAAAAAAATATGTTTTAATGTAATCAAACTACTTTTTTATCTCAAAGATAAATAGAATTTGATTTTGTACTAGCTCTCCTATGAGTTTATCCATCATTATAACCTAATTCTTTTGTTTACAAATTTCCAACATCGAGACTATTGCCCATAAAATGTTTTCCTTTAAAACAGTGTCTTTCAATGTCTAAGCCGTGGAGAATTATTGCAATGTATTCTCACTTAACACAAGCCATGGTAAGAATACCTATTCTTAGAGACTCTTTTTTTCCCCTAACTGCATATTTAAACCTAGAACAAAAGTCACAGAAGTCACACACATGCTTCCAGATCTTATTTCCAATTCACGGGAGAGAGGGGTTTTCCACCACAAACAAGCAAATACTGGGTATCCTACAATTCAACTCAACTCTGACTATCTACCCAGAAACAACATCAGATTACACAAATGAAGGGTTTGCTCCTATAATACTGCTGCCCCCCACATGGAAGGTGCCAGCTGTGACAGGGTGCAGTCAAGAGGGGAACCCCAAATAGGGATTTGTAATAGGGTCCAGAAGAGCTTGGAGATAATTGGTTCTACACCAAAGAGCCACACCTGCCCAGCATGCTGGCAGCTGTGGCCAGTTGTGAGAGGAGCCGGAAACGGGGCTGCAGAGGAAGATTGGCGCTGAGATTTAAACTGAGGTACAGCAGCCATTGTGCGTCTCTCTCTCTTTGGGACCATGCATCTATTTAGGACCACACAGCTTTGGTGTCTTGGTTGGGACCATGAGGCTTGGGTGAGAGTCAGGACCACGAGGCTTTGGAAGTGCTCCCTTTTGCCACGTGGAGGGTGCTGGGAGGACTGTGTGCATTTGTGGGGAACTTTAGTTTGTGTTATTTCAAATAAATAATAAATGCCTTTCCTTTTCACTGATCTCTGGTATTGAGAAATGTCTTTCCTCTGGTGGTGGACATAATAAACCTGAGGGGTTCCTTTCGGGTAATAGTATATTGCCTCAGCTGCCCTTGGCACCCCCCTCAAAAACTGTAACACAGCCAGTCACAATGCAGGTTATCACTTGTGCTTCTGACCCACAGGCTACAGACTCAAGATCCCCTGACCTCACTACGCTTCAGAGGCAAGATCCAAGTGCCATTTATTTTTTTACCTGTACTTTTGACTGTCCATAAATCTGAGTTCCCAAGACCCCACCTAAAGATTTCATTTTGCTGGAGCTGCTCACAGAACTCAGAGAAACATTTTACTTAGTCATGTTACCAGGATATACTGTAAAAAGATATAACTCAGGAACAGCCAAACAAAAGAGAGATGTGTCTATATCCCCAAATAGTCAGATGTTCACTAACCTGGAAGGAATCTGTCTGAATCCCCGTCTTTCTGAGTTTTCATTACTTGGCAATAATTGATTAAATCATTGGCCCCCAGGGATTGATTCAATCTCCAGCTTCTCTTCCATCCTTAGAGGTCAGAGGGTGGGACTAAACTTTACAAAGCTCTAATCATCTTGTTGTTCTGCCTGGCAACTAGTCCCCATCTTTAGATGAGGTCCAAAAGTCACTTCATTAACATAACAAAATTTTAAAAAATATCACATCTTTTCCCCTCCCAACACTTTTAGGAAATCCCAACTGTTTTGGGAGCGGTGAAGTAGGAACTTTGGGCAAAGACAAAATATGTGAGAAGTATTGATGAAGGTCGATGAATAGCAGTATCACAATGTGTGGCTAAAAGAGCCATATTAATGACTTTATCCAGAGACAAGAAGTTCTTGAGTTTACCCCTTCTTCTTATGGCAGAATACACGTACACTCGGGTTAAATCAATTGTCAAGAATATTGTACCTAGTCTAAGTGGCCTGTAGTTTGAAAATATCACAGCTTGTTGATTTCAACACCTTAACCATTATACTACCTTTTTGTAAAAGATAAAACTTGCTCTATAACACTTATGTGTTTATCTCTGTTACATTTGTATTTTCAACAAAGTATAACCTCTAGATAAAAAAAATAAAAAGAAATAAGAGTTTGTGTTCTGGGAACTGCTGTCAGCTTCTGAAATAACATGCATATAAGACCATACTTTATAACTTAACATACCAGCAGAGTTTCAGTGATAGGCTTGTATATTAACATGAGTATAATTGTTTCAATTCTTATAAAATAAATTAGAATATTAGGTTAGTTCAAGGTTTATACTTTTGCTCTTGAATTATAACCAAATGTTAGTTGTATCACCTAGATAATTTGAAAACTTAAAAAAAAGTTTTAATATTTATTGTTCACATGAAATGGTATCAGAAGGAGGTAAAATCTGTAGAAGTCTGAGTTGATAGCACATTGTGACTCATATATCACATAGGAGAACAGTAAATGATTACTGAAAGCGTTTTTGGAAGTAATACCTAAAAAGAACAATTGATCATTAATTAATGTTAGAAACACATTTTCTATTCACCCATAAAATTCATTAAAATTGCACAGGAAAAAAAGTCATGATTAGAAGTGCAATTATATTGATTCACTTAACTTGAATATACAACTAAGGTACACTCACCAAGGTAGCAATGCCTGTAATATGTTATCCCTAATGGAATGATGTTGAATTATGTGAAAATTTTTGTTTTAATTTTTAACATTTTAATACAAATCAGTGTGTCTGGTTCATTTCAGATCCTTCACGGCCAAACCTGGGGGCAGGGACTGCTTCAGCTTCTCGGCCTTCTCTTTGTCCGTGATGACCAAAGTATAAAGGTATCTGCTGCATTGGACTTGAAACTTCACACTGTCCTTGTTTTTCTTGATCTTGATGGATCTGGCATCTTTTCGCCTGGCTGTGAGCAGGAAGTCCTTGATTTCCTCAATTTTGCAACGTATGGCTAAGAGGCGCGGAGAATACATGGCTGGCCCAGCCCGTGGTAACAAACAAAAAGGGCAGAAAAGCAAAATTTGTTTTTTAAGATAAAGATAGATATTCCCTGGAACACATACTCCACACATATTACAAAGATTTCACAGGACAAGTAGCTACGAAGGTTTGATGGTGCCTGTGACACTTAAAGTTCCTAAAAATTATGACAGGTAGAAATGTGTGAATACTTCATAAGAAAAATATGTCATACTTGTCTGTGATACTAAAGTTGCCACAAGAAAAAAAAATACCTTCATTAAGTGAACATAACCAGGACAAGCTGTTCTAATGGGAAGAATATAAACAGAATTGCGTTTGCCGTACCTGTGATCAGTGCAGCCAGTGTTCTGGTAGTGACACCCTGGAGCACAGTACCATTCCACTAAGTTATTGCAACAATTCAAATGTAATACTTCCTAATGAGCTCCCCATTCTCACCTAATCTAACATGTTCTTGTAACTTTAATAAAGATATTTTCATTCTCCCCACCACATAGATGTTGTTGATTTTGACTTTTTGTTACACCTATATTTTCAGACCAAAGTATCAATTCTTTCCTTCAAACATCTCCTGCTTTAAATACCTCCTTTTTATTACTTCCATTGCTGCCTTGGTCCTTATAAATGTATCATTTTATAACTGGATTATTGCATATTCTGGGATGTGTTTTCCCAGTCTCTTGTTTCTCCACATGGATGTTCTGAACCATTTGCTACTGAAATAATCATGATACACACCACTGTTCAAAATTTGTATGGTCTTTCTCAATGAGAGAATATAAGGTTTAAACACCTAGATCAGCATTGAAGGATCTCCACATCAGAACTTGAATGGACTACATAATGCAAAATTGTGTTCACTGACAATAAAAACTACCGAGTAAAAGGAGGAACTAGGGATAAGCAAGGCTGAGCTGAAAGACCTATGGCAGCATAAATTATTTAGCTGTTAATTTTATTTTCCCCATGTTTATTGTCTCCCATGTCTAATTATTGCCGGAATTTGACTTTCCTTTCATTAGGGATTTATTTTAATGAGGAAGAAAGCACAAGCTATTTGAACACACTGCCTCTTGCAATCTTTTATGATTATCGAAAAAATTACACTAGGTACCCATGATGATAGGAGAAAAGGGAATGCTGTTTATTTAACGGCTCTAGTTTGAAAAAAGGCTGTGATCTCTTGGAGTTTAGAAGCTGTAATTACTAAATGTCCATGGAAGCACCCGAGTCGGCATTGGGAAACAATGCTTTATGAATAATTTCACATTTCTGCATAGTCAGAGCTTTCAGAGCAAAGTTACTGGCACTTGGGTTTCAGGAGGCTTTAATGACAGCCAGGCCTTTGTAATCAGAGACTGTGCATTGCTCCCCAAAATGTAGCGTCCTCCTTCTCCCCTGGATCTACTTGCTTATATACACTCTAAGGACAATGAATTCTGCATCACTTGTTTACTTTTCAAACTGGGGGAAATGAGAAAGAGACCTTCTCCCCTCACCTTCTCTCTCTCTCCAAAGAGACTGTGTTTATACCCAGAGTAAAGGTCTCCCTCACTCTACCTCCAGGGGAAAATGACCACATATACCAGCTGTCCTACATAAAGCTCCAGGTTTTCTAATCCCCATGTCCATCTCCTCCAGTTTAATCCCTGCAGGCACAATGACATTTTGCTTTCACTGCATTGCTTTTTGTGAATTTGGGGCATGGGTAATCAGTGCTGCTAAGACCGCTTTGTGACTGAAGTCTGTTCTCTGATCCAAAAGTAGGGTGTTCCTGTTAATAGGTATACATCCAAATATAAGTAATAGAAATAGATATATATATGAACACATACTTAATATATATATACATATCATGTATACATCCATATACACACAAGGATTTATGAATATATGTATGTGTACATACATATATATGTATATAGATAAAACTACAAGCTATCATATTAACAAAGTGCTACCTAAGATCTCACATAGCTTCAGGCTTAACAGTTGGTACCAAGAGTTGCCTGAGGAAAGAAAAATAATTGCAAGCCTTGAAATATAAAAAGAATACAACAGAGTCTACTAGAGGAAGCAATTATGGAAATAATAAAAGTTTTGACCCATAGCAATAGGAAATTCCCCAATATTTGGCACTAATTTCTGGCTATTGAAATTAGAAATCACAAAAAAATAAAATTTTAAGTTTTCCTGAGATAAATTAGGGTGAAGATGGTTGGGAGTTGTTTGAGTTGAACTGAAATTTGTACCCTGAAGTTTCTATATTCATACCTCCTTTCCTGGAGGCAGTGGCCCATTGTAGCCCATTTATAGTAACTAAATGAGTTGAGTGAAATAGTTACTACAAGTAGTGAAGGAGGAGGATAGAGAAAGAATACGAGCAAAAGGCTATTTTTTATGTTCAAAATAAAGTGGGTAACTGGTTTTTATGTCAATTCTAAAATAATAGTGCTGTCATATTTTAAGCCACATTACTCCACTACTAAACTATGTATCCATACTTTCTGTTGTGGTTCTATCCTTGATATTAGTGAACACAAAATCAGGGGCCTTATTAGAACCATAAATGTTGGGAACCACCCTGCCTGGTTTCAGAAGCTGTAACCGCCGCCCCCCCCCCACACCATGACTAAGGCTGGATGAGCGATCTTGGAACTATAAGCCAGCAAGGAGACAAAAGCTTATTTCCCTGGCAGGAGCACCACTTCTGTTCCTTTTACTTCATCCATGACTGGCCCCCAATGTTTGGTTGGTTAGCCAATGATGGGTAAGATTCCCCAAGCGGGGAATGACCTAAGACAGGCACAGTCACATGGGAGGCTCCTAAGGAAGGACTTTGGGAGGTACAGCAAAAGGGGTGATGGACCCTCACCTCTCAGCTTTGACAAAGCCTGAGTCCTCATTCTGTCTTCCAGAAGTCTCCTAATCTCTTGGCTGCCTTACTTCCTTTGCTCCACCTAAGCCTGAAACAATGACAGAGGGTGGTGCAGCCCTGTGCTAGAAAAGGCGGGTTCCCTGGGTGATCAGGCCTAAGAAAGAATAGGTAAAATCCTATGAAACCTGCTTTGTTTAGCATGCTCTCAATTAAATGATAAGGGTCCAAGCAAGAAGTAAGTTTGTTCCTCAAAGTTTTACAGCTCCTTAGCTATCTGACGCTAACTCAGAATAGGCCCTCAGAGTTCTTTATTATCTATTGTTTGATCCTTACTGCCTGACAATGATTAATGAGCTTTATCTGTATTCCTGTGCAAATGAACCCAATGAAAGCCCATTGAGGAAAAGGCTCCTGGCCCTTCTCCTTTGAGAGATCAGCCACCTTTCCTCCCCAAGCAGATCATGTCTTGGTAGACTTATTCTCATCCACAGCAGCCAGTGGGGCCCTCTGGGTGGAGACCCCCCACCACACACACACACACAAAACAGAACTTTAGGAATAGATGTAACACAGGACTAATGGAGATGAAGTGAGAGATAGGTGTTCATGTGCCCTGATACTTTAAACCTAGTGCTGCTAATAAAGGTCTAATCCCCATTAAGGACTCATTTGGAGCATAGTTATCCTGGACCTTGTGGCTAACCTTGGAGAGGACTAAAGTCTGTATGATATAAAATTGAACAATGTCATCCACTTTCCACAGGTCAGCTAGGTAGTTTAAGTCATTGAGCTAGTTTGGCGAAAACTGTTACTCACGATTTATGGCATTCCCATACCTAATAGGAGAGAAAAATTTCAATAATTTATAATGAACAAGAAATGAATGACCTCCGCATATCATTGTTAGCAACTATCTATTTTTCTTTACTACTGAAACCATGGCTGTCAGTTCTACTGAGGCAGAAGATAGTCAGGAGTGAGGAAACTCCAGAGGCATCCCAGGACTAAGACAAAGGACAGTGGTACAGGACAGAGACACTGTTCTAAGACCAGCTGTTCCCACCTTCTAGAAAAGCACTGAATCGTGGTGAATCATGACTGCTCCTGTGTAGAAGATGCCACATGACGCCCGCTTCATTATAATAGTATTATAATAAATTAATATTGTGAGTTCTTCTTCCCCAGTATGCAATCAAGAAACATCATAGGAGACTGCATGTGCAGTAGCTTAAAAGGAATACAACTACTTGTACATGCACAATAAAAGCCTGCCAAAATGAGCCAGGAAATATGCACACTATAGGGAGAGAATCCCTCTGGCCACAGAGGGTCAATCTCTGCTCGGAGTTGACCTGCTCCCATATTCCATGGAGTGTACTATCGCTTTCTCTGTTATAAACTCTCTCTCTCTCTCTCTCTCTGTTATAAACTCTCTGTGTATTCCATTCAATTCATTGTTTGTCACCACCAAGAACCTGGCTACCTATGGCCACCTGCAATACTACTGTATATAGTCTCTAACCCATGCTGCCTCATGCACTTTTTTTATTACTTTTTTAAAAATTGAATTTATTTTGGTGACATCGGTTCACAAAACCATAAAGGTTTCAAGTGTACAAATCAATAAAACATCTTCTGAAGACTGTATCATGTGCCCACCACCCCAAGCAAAGACTCTTTCTGTCCTCATTTCCCTCCTTTTGGCCACATTCACCTACCCTGAACCCCCTTCCCCTCTAGGTATTACCATACTGTAGTCTGTGTCTATGTGTTACGTGTGACTTTAAGGGACTGCATGGTCAGCAATTGCAGGATCCCTAAATGTACATAATCATAGCTAACATCAGTAGAGGTTAATTACAGTTACACATAAAGCTTCTTTACAATCTAGCAGAGAATAAAACCAATTAGAACATTTTAGTTATTGTGTAAATTGTAATTATCTAGTCAGAGTACTAGTCACTGTAAATAGGGTTGAACTAGTCTTCTAAAATAGGATTTTTGAAACAATAATATTTCATAAATAAAACTATGCAGCTTAAGTAAGGATCATACAACTTCAGCGTTAATGATTTTAGCTAAAAATTCAGCTATTGTTTTTAATACAATGTA